TCCACTACCTTCCTTAACCTTATGCTCGCCAACATCACCCCCAACCCGTTCTCCTCATCTTTTTCGCGACCCATCCTCTCTCTCCTCCACTCTATGCCCCATTTCCACCTTTCCCCAACCCATGTACCATTTTCCTTTACCGAACCTTCCTTGTTGATAGCTAATTGAAAAAGCCGTGGAAATAAATCTCGAAGAGATTTATTCCCCACCCAAATATCTCTCCAAAAGCACACCCGACAACCCTCCCCCACCTCCCACCGGAAACCATGCCTTAACATATTTTTTAACTTCTCTGATTTCCCACCTATTCTAATAATGTCCCCCCAAATCTGCGACACCCTCAAATTCGCCACATCAATAATACCCACCTCTTGCTTACCCTCATAGAATTTTTCTTTTACTACCTTTTTCCACAACCCCTCCCTCCCATCCCCTAATCTATACCACCATTTCCCTAATAACGCCCAATTTCTCCGACGCAGATCCGGAACCCCTAAACCTCCTTGCTCCTTACTCCAACAAATAGCTTCCCATTTTACCCACGAAATCTTTCTTTTCTCCCCTGCACCCCCCCACAAAAAATCCCTTTGAATCTTGACTAATTGAACAAGCACAGAATTAGGCATATTAAATAAGGACATAAAAAAAGTAGGAAGTGCAGAGAGTACCGAGTTTAGCAACGTTAGACGACCCCCGAAGGACAGCAAGGCAGACTTCCAGACGGCTAGCTTTTGGCGAAATTTACTAACAACCGGAATCCAAAACTTCTTACACCTTGGATTACCTCCGACAGGCATTCCCAAGTAAACAAAAGGTGTCTTCCCCACACTACAATGCAACACTCTTGCCGCCCCTCTCACCCAATTGTCCAGCATGTTAAAACCATACACACAACTCTTGCTGAAATTAATCCGCAATCCCGACATCAACTCAAACCACCTCAGAATAGCTTTTACCGTGAGGATATTTTCTTTGCTTGCCTCACCCAAAATAACTGTGTCGTCTGCAAACTGTAGCAATGAGACCGCCAACCCCCTCCTACCCACCTTTGCCCCTTGTAGCATACCTTCATTCTCTGCTTTTTTCACCAGTCCATGCAATGCCTCTCCAACCATCAAAAATAAAAAAGGAGACAAAGGATCTCCTTGCCTGAGCCCTTTCCCCATTTCAAACTCCTTGGTCGGACTACCATTTACCAATACCGACATCCTGACAGTGGATAGACACTCCTTAATCCACCCCCTCCATTTTTCTCCAAAACCAAACGCTCCCGACATCCAGTCCAAAAATGACCAGTTAACACAATCGTAAGCTTTTTGAAAATCAGCCTTGAAGACAAAAGCTGGTTGCTTCCTCTTGCGAACCTCGTCCACAACTTCGTTTAGAACCAAAACACTATCAACCAATTGTCTTCCCCCTACAAAAGCCGATTGCGTTTTGCTAATAATCACCGGCATCACCTTCTTAAGCCTATTAGCTAACACCTTTGCTAACAACTTATACATACAGCCAATTAAACTAATAGGCCTAAAGTCTTTTAGCTCCCTAGGGCTCAGTTTCTTCGGGATTAAAGTAAGAAAGGACGAATTCAAACCCCTCACTAACCTGCTGTTTTGATGAAAATCCCGAAAAAAAGCAATAAAGTCTTCTCTAACACTACTCTAGATGAATTTGAGGAGATTAAAGTTATACCCGTCAGGTCCCGGAGCTTTATTTCCTTCACAACTCTTCAAGCCTTCATCAATCTCCTCCTCCGTGAAAGGCCTTTCAAGCCATTCCTTCTGATCTTTCGAAATTCTCCGGAACTCCAGATTTGAAGGAATGGGTCGGTTCCAATCATCCTCTTGAAACATGTTGCGGAAGTGCTTCACCATCTCATCCTTTACCATCTCCGGATCCTCTACCCACTGTCCGTCAGACCATAATCCCGAGATACTATTGTGCGCCTTTCTCCCATTTGCGATTTTGTGAAAATATCTTGTGTTCTGATCCCCCAGTTTAACCCAATCACTTCTAGATTTTTGCTTCCAAATAGCCTCCCTTTTCCACATAATATCCCATAACTGCTGGAAGCCTTCTTTCCTTAGATCCACCTCCTCCTTCGCCAAATCCATCACTTCATTCCTCAAATCAATCTGTTCTACACTCTTGACCACCTGTTGAAAATGTGTTTCCATGTTTCCGAATACTTCCTTATTCTATCCTTTTAAAAAATCCTTCAACCGCTTAAGCTTCTGTTTACATCTATATCCCGCATACCCTTCCTCCACTAACTCCTTCCATTTGTCCTCAATCACCTTCTTGAATTGCGGGTGCTGCTGCCAAGCATCCAAAACACGGAACGGTTTTGGTCCCCAATCAGCTACTGATGTTTTGACCACAATAGGGCAATGATCAGACACAGTCCTCTTCAGTCCATGCTGTACCCATCCCTTTCCCGAACTATACATCTCACCAGACATGAGGACTCTATCCAAACGACTCATAGACGACCCATCCGGTCGATACCATGTAAAGCGTCTATTTGCCAATTGAATATCTACCAACCCAGTTGACACAACAAAATCATCAAACTCCCTCATATCCTGAGTCTCCCCTGACCTACCCTTCCTCTCGTTGGGACACCTCACTGCATTAAAATCCCCTGCAATCATCCATCTCCCTTCCTCTGCCAATATCATATGCCGAAGATCATTCCACAGTGTCAATTTCTTCTGCCTGTCATTTGAGGCATAAACATTCACAAAATTGCACTTCAACTTCTGAGGTCCCCATTCTCCGCTAATCCGCAAGAACCCATTACCCGAGATGACCCCCTGTTTTACAAACTCAAACCAATTCCATATACACAATAAACCACCGAAGGCTCCATTCGATTCCTTCATCTCCCAATCATAATCATCTGAAAACCACAACATTTTACATAACGCACCCTCTACCATCTCCAATTTTGTCTCCTGTAGAAACAAGAAATCGGGTCTCTCTGCTCTTACCAACTTGCTAACTTCCCTCCTTTTCACTAAACTCCCAAACCCCCTCACATTAAAGGATATTAACTTCATAAAAAA